TCCAGTGTATGTGAACAGTGAGATGTTTGGGCGCTGAAGTCGCCATAGCCAATTGAGAGTGAACTCGTATCTGAAAGCCATATCTCTGAGTTTTGAGTGGGCGCATGTCGCCAGTATGCTGCGTTGCTGTTTACATGCATGAAAAGGGTGTTTGAGAACGAGTCTGATTGCAAGGCCAAAGCAAACTGCTTTACTGTCAAAATGCTAACTGCAAGGCTTTTCGGGGCTTTATTTGATTTTCCATGATGGTTGACAGCTCGCACAATCGCCGACTTCACCGCCTCATCTTTATCCAGTGGATTCATCACTAGGAGTTTTTGGATGGAACACACGGGGTCTGGATACAGGTTTCTATAACCTGGTCGTCATGGTGAGTGATGGAAAAGTGAAGGTGCCAGTAGACTTCATGCTTTTCCTCTATGAGGCTGTCTCTTTCTGTTCTCGAGATTGTGGCAATACTGTGCAAGGACTGTCAACGTTTGCAGATAAGGATGGAATGTATGATGGCTGCTCAATCTGTGGGAATGGCACACAAAACTTTTCTGTCTGCACTCCTGTCCAGGATTCACCAACCTGCTCCGGAGTGCTCGTTTTCTCTCCCCCACCACCGTCATTCCCTCCACCGCCATCCCCATCAGCACCGCCTTCCCCCCCTCCTCCTTTGCCTCCACCTCCAGGCCCTCCTTCCCCATCTCCTCCACCCCCTTCCCCACTTTCTCCTCCACCATCCCCTCCTTCCCCACCCGTTCCACCACCACCTGGACCTCCACCAGCTACTGAGCCAGGGGGTCGGCGGCGACAGCTCTTACAGCGTCGGGATCCGACACCCTCAGCTTGTATCAATAACAACCCGCCTGTCTTCATTGAGCCAACACCAGGACTGATTGAGATGGAAGCAGGGCAAAGGCTGATCATTGAGCTTGTGAGAGGAACAAATATTACATTTCCCTTGGTGGCAGTTGACAACGATGATTGTGCAGAGCTATACATCGACTCGACAGGACTTCCCATCAATGCTACCCTCTATCCTGCTAATCCCGAAGGGGAGGATGTCTCAGATACTTATGGCAAACACGCACGCAGGAGGATATTCAATTGGAACTCTGCCTCGAGAGATCCTGATTGGGATGAACGACCCTCAGCATCACTCGTCTGCTTCTATGCATTCGATAAGTACATGGTGCAAGATGGACATCCGCTCTGTCTGGAGCTCAGAATTACAGGTTCGTTTCAAACCATCAGAAACCCAAATACAGGATTTGTAAAACTCACAGGAGCAGTTAAAAATTATTCTCAGCTTCGCCACATTATAACAGAGAAATCCCTGAGATGCAACATAACATATCTTGAAGTCAATACCCTGATGTGCAACAAACATTCACATCATAGCCATAATGCAAGTTCTGGAGTTTCCCAGCCATCTCCTTGACTGACTTTTTTTTAAGAATGCAATTAATGTAAAAAAAAAAAAAAAAAAGAATGCGTTTAATGTCCCTCCTTTGGTTGTGACTTGTCCCCTTACCAAGAGCCTCCTTGTCTTATACCTTTTGAAAGGCATTCTGAAATGGTTTCACTTAGTTGACCCGACTTTCCAGACACAGAGATTCGATCCCCAGACCTGTGCCCTAACCCTGTACATTGAACCTGTGTGCTGAGAGCGATTCGATCCCTAGACCTGTCCTATACCTGTACATAGACCCAGTGACCTGAGTAGGATCAATCCCTAGACCTGCCCTACGTCCTAGGCTAGTCTGTATGTTGGACAGTAGGACTTGATCCCTAGGTCTGTAGATTAGGAGTTAGGTCTGTTACCGTTAGGCTTAGGAAGGCCTGTTCTAAAAATCTCTATCTGAGTCTACTGAGGCCTACAGTCTGTCTGTAAGTCTGTAGGCTCTAGAAGGTCGTAGGTCCCTGTAGGCCAGTCCAGTCAGCAAGTACCAGGGGTAGGGGCTGCACGTGGGGAAGGTTCTGGAGCACACTGTGGGTTTCACACGTTTTGGCCCAGAAGGCCAAACGTCTGGAAACTTCCTTGGGCCACACGTTTTGGCCCAGGCCCACACGTTTTGACGCAGGCCCGGGTACCTCCAAAGAAGAATAAATAAAGAGGCAGCGTCCAGCCATTCATTCATTCGCCTGTGTGCCATGCGGAAGAGCTGCCTTGGTATCTTGTGCCTGGAGGACTGCAGGTGCCCGAGGAAGAAGTGGGCTGTGAAGAAGACAGCGGCCATAGCGAGCCAGCGAGGGAGACAACGGCGGTCATAGCTCGGAGGAGGAAGACGACGGCAGCCATAGCCGCCCAGTTGTTGGTGTATACAGAGTGTACAGAGTGTGAGTGGCTGTGCAGTGTGGACATTCAGGGTGATCCTCATACGTGCGTGCAAGCGAGACTGAGGGAGACTGAGGCTGGTGGTAGAGACAGTGTTCGGCGGCCATAGCCGCAAGTTGTACAGTTGTTCAGACTGGGTTTAACACAAGTTCGTTGTTGTCTCTGAGTTGAAGGAGTTCAGTTTTACATCGGTTCTCAAGTGTGCATGTTGTGAACAAGGTCCAGAGTCGAGTCTGATTGCATTGGTATCGGAACTGGTACCCGTTGTCCATGCCGGCGGAGCTGCAGCAAGTGAAGAAGAGGGTAGAGGCCGCCATAGCTGAAGCTCGGCAGAGAGAGAGAGAGAGAGAGAGAGAGAGAGAGAGAGAGAGAGAGAGAGAGAAAGAGAGAGAGAGAGAGAGAGAAGGGGGGATAGCAGCCATAGCTGTCAAGTTCGGGGCAAGAGACGATCAGTGAGAAGAAAGAGATAAGGCGCAGAAAAAAAGGAAGAAGAAAGTGACGAAGAGGGAGACAAAGTCAGCCATAGCCAAGGTGAACAAGACGAAGCAAGAAGACTACCGGTACCACCCTTTCAAGCCCTGGCCTATCCCTTACCCCGTGGACGTGCACCTTCACCTTGGTACCTGCTGACGTCAAGTCTGTCAAAGTCAGTCAGTCCTATCTCCCTGTCACTTCTGTCTAGGTCAGTAGAATTCTATGTATGTGGTCATAAAACCATAAGTTCAACCCGAGTAGTGCATAGCAGTCCCGTAGACACGAGATAACCTGGTCGGTCTACGTGTTGAGGCGCAGAATCGTTGTTGATTGTGCACTTACACCATGGTGACCACCAGAACTGGGTTTAGTACCACCCCCTATAGCAAGGAGCAAGAAGAGAGAGCTGCCGCCCTTCTGTGTGAAAGGAAGTAGAAGATGGAGAAAAGGGAGTTAATCAAGCAGGCCAAGATGTTGGCCCTGCTGAAGGAGCAAGAGGCAACGAAGAAGCAGATGGAGGAGGAGCTGAAGAGGGATCAGGAGGAGAAGATGGCGGCTATACGAGAGGAGGTGGAGAAAGAAGAAGAAGAAGGGGAAGAGATAGTAGAGGAAGAAGAGCCGTTGGAGAGAAGGAGAGGGGAAGCTAGCACAAGCAAAGAAATTGAGATTGCAAGGATTGCACAGGAGTGGGCCACACATTTGGAGTTGGGGGAAGACAGGGAGGCCGAGATGGCCATACCCCAGGAAGAGAGAGAAGCAGCAAGGAGGCAAATTGAGGCAGAAAGGGACCTACTGAGGAGAAAGGCGAAAGAGGAAGAACAACAAATGGCATGGAGATACCGGCTGTCCCAAGAGAGGGTAAGACGATTGCAAGCAGCGGACAGGGCAGAGAAGGACCTGAAAGCGGCGGAGACCAGGCTGGGGAAGATCAGGAAAGAGACGGAGATAGCCACTAAACTCAATACCCTGACCCAAAGTTTAGAGTCTTTACTAACTGCACATCATGAACAAGCGCAATACATCCACAACTTCGAAGTAAAGATAGATGCAATGCGCATTGGGTTCAAGGATTTTGCGAGTGATATGATGAAGTATTTATTGGCTGAAGTCCGTAATGCAATTAGTAAGACAAGAGAGTTCTGTACCGGCGCCATTGAAGGCGCCAAGTTAGCGACTCCTAAGGAAGAGGAGCCAGCCCCACCACGCCGTGAGAAAGTTAAGGTTCGTTTTCCCGAACCCTTATGTGGAAAGAAGGGTGAAGATTTCGATAATTAGGAGGCCAACGTGCACTCCTACTTGTACCTGCAGGGAGTCACGCCTGAGGACCACGTTTTGGTGGCCTTCCGGCCCTTCGAGATGAGGCGACTAGCTTTGCTAGGTCGCTTGCCCGCGCTGCAAATTGCGAGAACGATATGGTTACATATTCGAGACTGGCACCCCTCTCCGAGTTCCTGAAATCGCTCAGAGAGCGATTCTTAGATGTGACGTGGGGGCTCAAAGCCTCTGACAAACTCCAAATGATACACACTCGCCAGTGGAAAGTGTGCACGCCCTCAAGTCCGCCATGGACAAACTGATTGCGGTCCCTGGGCATAGAGTAACCGATGCCCAACTCCTTAACCTCTTCTACCGTGCCCTACCTGAAAATATTCAGGGACACTTCTTCGAAAAGAAGAATCAGCAGGGCATGACTTATGATACACTTAGTCGGGAGGCAGTTGCATTTGCCGCCCAAGCGTCGCCAGTTACCACGTTCTGGCACAAAGGTCTCTCAAAGGGAAAAACGTGGAAGGGACGCACCAGCTCGGGCCAAATCAAGGCCAAATATAGTTTAATTTTGACAATGGAGGAAGGTGGTGCTGACGAGGTTCCCTACTCTGACATCGAGTGGGGATTGGAGGAGGAGAACAGCAGCGCAGGCTAGGGGAGAACCTATGCTGCTGTTGCGGTTGGAGGGAGGCCGCAAGGAGGAGGACAACGGTCCGGCCAGAATGGCCGGGCCCCAGCTAGCCGAGGACAGGGCAGCCAAGGGGTTGGCGGCAACGGCAACCGCCAAGAGGGAGGAAAGGGAGGTCCCCCGCCTAACCGTCCGCGTTTTAGTCGATCACCCCCCAGACAGGGAAGGTGGCACCCAGGCCGGCCCGAGGGCCGACCCTCGCTAGATCTGGGTATAGATCAAGGAGTATGGCAAACACGCATTAACAGTTCTCAATGCGTATTCTGCGGGGACCCAGGCCACGTTATCAAATTTTGTCCTAAGTATAGGGACCGTGCTGCGTCTGGGGCAGCAAAAGACAGCCACCGGTAGGGGTCGCAACTGCCCCTACCCCAGGAGTATGTGGATCTGAGCGTGCGCACGAAGTAGAATCTCCCACTCCACATATCTCCATGGCAGAGGTTGCAGGTCAGCGTTTAGTAAGCTGTCCAAAGACTGCTTGTGTTAGGGTCTCTCTAGACGCTTCCCTCACAGGCTTAGCCGAGGAGTTGAGAGAGAGGAGGCAAGCCTGGGCCAAGGTGAAGAAGGATAGTAAAGGACAGCTAATCCTCGCAGACGTAGAAATATTTAGAGCTAGAGTAGGAGCCCTAATAGACCGTGGGGCGACTAGGAGTTATATCAGTCGTAAAGCGCCGAAGAAGTTGAAGCTCAATCTAAAAGTCCAACGTTTAGAGGAACCTGTAGTCAGCATCCTTGCAGACAACAGCAGGATGCGTGTTGAAGAATATGTTGAGGGGGTCCACGCCTACTTTCGCCTAGAGAAAGATGGGAAGGTAGAGAAGGTACTGCACTCCTTGACCCTCCTCGTGAAAGAGAGTCCTCGTTTGACATTGTTCTAGGTACGGATTGGGGAGAGGCAGCGGGAACCACACTACACCTTAGAGAGCACGAGTGTAGGCTCCCTAGCGCGTCAGGCGAAGTCAAGCAAGTCCACATGTTCCACGAGTCCGAGGTAGATAATCCCATCGCCCATTGCTGCCTCAGCGCTCCTGCATTTGCCAGACTTGTGCGAAAGGAGCAGCTCGAAGAGCAGGTGTTCGTAACCTATGTTAGGCCGATTTCTGATCAGCCAAAGGAGGAGGAAAAGATTCATCCTTCTATCGCCAGTTTGCTGGAAGAGTATAAGGACTTGTCTCAAGCACCTTCAAGAGTAGTGCCCAGACCAATCCAGCACCATATAGAGATAAAACCTGGCAGTAGAACGCCTAAGGGGGCAGTCTACAGGATGTCTCCCAAGGAGTTAGAGGAGCTTCGCAAACAGTTAGATGAACTCTTAGAAAAAGGATGGATCAGGCCTAGTTCGCCACCGTTTGGCGCACCTGTTCTGTTTGTCCCAAAGAAGGAGGGAGAGCTTCACATGTGTATAAACTACAGGGGACTGAACGCCATCACAATTAAGAACGCAAAGCCATCGCGTGCAAGGATGCAGGTACTTCTCAAAGATAGACCTGAAATCGGGGTACCATCAGATAGAGGTGCATCCTGACGATCAATATGAGACGACGTTCAGGACAAGGTATGGGCATTACGAGTTCATAGTGATGTTGTTTGGACTTACTAATGCACCGACTACATTTCAACGCTGCATGAACGACTTGTTTAGACCATGGTTAGATAGGTTCGTCGTAGTGTACCTAGACGACATCCTAGTGTTCAGCAAGACCCTCGAGGAACATGAGGGCCATCTGCGGCAGATTCTAAGCAAGCTGAGAGAGTCTAAGTGCGAATGGGCCAAGACACAGGTCCTTCTAGGCCATGTACTAGACGGCGATGGCATTTGCCTTGAGGACAACAAGATTGCATCCATCAGAGATTGGCCGACTCCTAAGACACTGACAGAGTTGCGCTCATTCTTAGGACTGGCTAACTACTAAAGGAAGTTCGTGAGGAACTTCTCCACGATCGCTGCTCCCCTTCGTAGACTTATGAAGAAAGAGACTATCTGGAAGTGGAACCAGGATTGAACGTCAGCCTTCAAGAAATTGAAGAAGGCTTTGATAGAGTACCCTGTCCTCAAAGTTACTGATCCATCATTACCATTTGTTGTTACTACAGACGCGAGTCAGTATGGCATAGGTGTCGTTCTACAGCAAGATGACGACAACAATTATAAGCCCGTAGAGTTTATGTCAGTCAGGCTGCCCTCAAAGAAAGTCGCAGCATCGACATATGAAAGAGAACTCTACGCTCTCGGGCAGGTTCTAGAGCACTGGAAACACTACCTGCTTGGGAGGCAGTTCAAGATTTACTCAGACCACGAGACTCTTAGATGGTTAAAGATACAGGCCAAGATGACGCCCAAGTTGACTAGATGGGCTGCTGAAGATAAGACCAGTATGACTTTGAGTTGAAACTCCTCAAAGGCAAGTATAACGTGGTAGCTGATGCGCTAAGTAGGAGATCAGATTACTTCGGCGCAATAGTGCACTACCTAGACATAGGGGTCGATCTGCAGCAGAAAGTAAAAGATGCCTATGCACAGGACCCGATCTACAGTGAGTTGTTGAAAAGAGTAAGGGAAGCCCAGATAGTGAGCCACACTACCGGACCATGAATGGGCTACTGTTTGAAAAGACTAATGTCGCTGACAGACTATGTGTCCCCAATAGTGAAGAGATCCGTAGTCTGATCTTAGGGGAATACCACGATACGGAAGGGCACTTTGGATGGCAGAAGACTTTAGCTAACCTGATGATGTCATATACGTGGCCAGTAATGAAAGCAGATTGCATAGAGTATGTGCGCAGCTGCAATGTATGTCAACAGAATAAAACTACAACCAAAGCCCTGCTAGGTTTTCAGAGACCCTTGCCTATTCCGTCAGGACCCGGAGATTCAATTTCCATTGACTTCATGGATATTGGGGTCAAGAGTAGGCACGGCAAGACTCAAGTCATGGTCATAGTAGATAGGTTTAGCAAGTATGCAGTATTTGTTCCCCTGCCTTCAGAGGCACGTACAAACTTAGTCATTAGTAAGTTTTTTGACTTCTGGGTAAGCGAGCATGGTATGCCGTTGTCCATAGTCAGTGATAGGGACACGCGGTTTAATAGTCAGAATTGGCTGGACCTTATGAAAGTCTATGTGTCTAAGTTTTTGATGTCGTCAGGACGACACCCAAAGACTAATGGCCAGACAGAGCAGATGAATAAGATCTTGCAACAACTACTTAGAATGTATATTAGATCAGATCAAATAAACTGGGATGAGATGCTTCCCAAAGTAGCAAGTGCCTACAATAACAGTGTTCATCTAGCTACCCGCAGGACTCCTAACGAGCTACATAAGTCCTTTAGACCAAGGCGACCGTTTGAGGGACTAAACCGGGACCAGATACACAGACTACCACCCAGCACACAAGAGTTTGCGTTACAACATGAGCAGGAAGTCGCTAAGGTCATAGACAATATGAGAAACGCCCAGCATCAGATGATAGAGCAAGCTAACAAGCACCGCCGACCTTCACAGTTTCAGGTAGGGGATCTAGTCTGGGTCAAGTCAGAGGAGTTCGCACCTGAGGAAAACATCTCGCAGAAGCTCTTACCTGCGTTTAGAGGACCGTGGCCTGTCCTAGAAGTCAAAGGAGGAGAGGACGGCCCGTCATATACTATAGAGATTCCATCACACCTCCACACGTACCCAGTCTTCCATGCATCTAAGTTGTTACTTGCACCACATCTGACAGATTCCCTTCTAGGAGATCGATGATTCCACCAGACATGGATGGTGCATATGATATAGATCACATAGTCCCCAGAAACAATATAAGGTTAGGTTCGCATACCAGGAACCCGAGGACGACCGATGGCTTACAAGAACAGAGCTGCTAGAAACGGCTCTCGACAGAGTACACGCCTATGAGAGGGAAAGAAAGGGCAAAGGTCCGACCTTGAGTTAGAGTGTTCTCGGAGGACCTCGAATTTAGGATGGCGGGAGTGAAATGGTTTCACTCAGTCGACCCGACTTTGCAGACACAGAGATTCGATCCCCAGACCTGTGCCCTAACCCTGTACATTGAACCTGTGTGCTGAGTGAGATTCGATCCCTAGAGCTGTCCTATGCCTGTACATAGACCAAGTGACCTGAGTAGGATTCGATCCCTAGACCTTCCCTACGTCCTAGGCTAGTCCGTAGGTTGGACAGTAGGACTTGATCCCTAGGTCTGTAGATTAGGAGTTAGGTCTGTTACCGTTAGGCTTAGGAAGGCTTGTTCTAGAAATCTCTATCTGAGTCTACTGAGGCCTAGAGTCTGTCTGTAAGTCTATAGGCTCTAGAAGGTCGTAGGTCCCTGTAGGCCAGTCCAGTCAGCAAGTACCAGGGGAAGGGGCTGCATGTGGGGAAGGTTCTGGAGCACACTGTGGGTTTCACACGTTTTGGCCCAGAAGGCCAAACGTCTGGACTTCCTTGGGCCACACGTTTTGGCCCAGGCCCACACGTTTTGAGGCAGGCCCGGGTACCTCCAAAGAAGTATAAATAAAGAGGCAGCGTCCAGCCATTCATTCATTCGCCTGTGTGCCATGTGGAAGAGCTGCCTTGGTATCTTGTGCGTGGAGGACTTCAGGTGCCCGGGGAAGAAGTGGGCTGTGAAGAAGACAGCGGCCATAGTGAGCCAGCGAGGGAGACACCGGTGGCCATAGCTCGGAGGAGGAAGACGACGACGGCCATAGCCGCCCAGCTGTTGGTGTAGACAGAGTGTACAGAGTGTGAGTGGCTGTGCACTGTGGACATTCAGGGTGATCCTCGTACGTGCATGCAAGCGAGAGTGAGGGAGACTGAGGCTGGTGGTAGAGACAGTGTTCGGCGGCCATAGCTGCAAGTTGTACAGTTCTTCAGACTGGGTTTAATACAAGTTCGTTGTTGTTTCTGAGTTGAAGGAGTTCAGTTTTACCATCGGTTCTCAAGTGTGCATGTTGTGAACAAGGTCCAGAGTCGAGTCTGATTGCACCTTCCACGATTGAGACCCCAAATTCAGATCTCAGGGTCAGATGCCCTGGTCAAGAAAAGGCCGAGTTCGTCAAACTCAGAAAAGTCACAGTCGGGTACCTCAGCAGTGTGGTTCAACAGGCACCCAGCAAACAGTCACATATCAGGGACAAGTGTTACGTCTCATAATAGAAGCCATTTTGAAGAGTCACATCCCACGAGTGAAAAGGCAGATTCACAAGCAAGAGTCATGTCTCAAAGGCAGAGTCACGTCTCATAATGAAAAATCATATTGAAGAGTAACATCCCACGAGTAAAAGGGTAGTTGCACAAGCAAAAGTCGTGTTCCAGAGGCAGCAGTCACAGTCCACAGTCAACAGTCATGTTCACAAGTGAAAGTCGTGACTTAAGGGCCCAAGCAGCAGCAGACCAAAGGAAATTCGGGAAGGTTCCAGTCCTTGACATTCAGAAGCAGACAGGCCGTAGGAATGTGGTACCGGAACCAGCCAGATCCCAGAAAGCAGAGGCTGGCACGAGTTGAAGAGCATTCCAAGACTACAAAAGGACTGGCCAGCCTACCATTTGGGAAGATGGCTCGTTCGCAAGAAGTGTGGAAGTGCTGGTGCACTTGTGCGCTGATGTGAGGGCCAGAGCGCTGAAGCCAGAGTGCTGCGCTAAGAGTGAGAGAGAGGAAGAAGACAGTGCTGGCAGGGAGAAGGCAGCCATAGCTGCGCCAGCGCAGGGTGTTATTGTTAGCAGTTAGTAGTAGACTTCAGAGGGATTAGTAGAGTTGACAGTGCGTGTATTCAGAGTAGATCTTTGAGTGGAAGTTAGTGTGTGTGTGCATGCGTGTAGGCAGAGAAGATACAGCGAGGTCCTAGCTAGAGAGAAGACCAGCGAGGTCCTAGCTAGTGTGTGTGTGTGTGTGAAAGGAGGCCAGGAAGGTGAAGGGAAGGAGAAGGTTGGTGAGGGAATGAGAAGCCGGCAGCCATAGCTGACCGAAGGGTTGACCGGGAGAGTTGACCGGAGGTGTTGACCGGTGTTGACCGGAGTTGACCGGGGGTTGACCGGGAGTTGACCGCAGCATTGACCGGCGTTGACCAAGGCTTTGACCAAGACTTTGACCAAGCTGGAGCCGGTAAAATCTCGCCAAGCCTTCAGCCTATCCCTCACCCTATGGATGAGCACACACCCTGTGGTACTTGTTGAGTCCAGTCTGTTTGTCTCTTCTTTCTGCATCGAGTCTCTTCTGTCTAGGTGATAGTACTCTGTGGATGAAGGATAGGGCCTTGTTGACCAAACCCACACGGGCTGAGTAGGGCTAAAGACTGTGTCTGACGACTCGACTGTCCCGGAGGACACGAACCCTCCCAAGGACCGGTACTGACCGGTGGGCTGCTCGGTGTGGCACGGTAGGCCCAAAATCCGAGTTGTGGGCTGCACAACAGGCCGTCTAAGTGTTGAGAGACCTGCTGATTGCGTCGTCCTGTCTGCGACGTTAAATAATTCCTGAGGAGTTACAGGGGGATCTCCTTAAATGCCTCCTGATCAGCAATAGGTCTAGTAGTGACAGCCATAGTATAGGTCGAGGCTAGAGACCCTAGTTGGCAGGATCCCTGTCCAGATTCTGTGAGTTTTAGATTAAGTCAGTAAGTTGCCAGTCAGGGGGTTAGAATCTAAGTGGTGAGGAGTGGAATCGTTCTGATTGTGCACCTATCACCATGGTGGACTTGCGTAGTGGGAAGAGCACTAGCCCCTACACCCAGGAGCAACAAGAGAAGATGGCCGCCTTAGTGAGAGAAAATAAGGAAAGGAAGTTAAAGGCGATCACAGAGGAGCAGGCGGCGAAGAGGAAGAAGTTGGAGGAAGAGATGATGAGGATTCAGCAGGAGGAAGAAGAAAAGAGAAAGGCTGCCGAAGAGGAAGCAGCAGAAGAAGAAGAAAAAGAGAAAAGACGTATAGGAGAGAAAGGAGAAAGTAGTGGCACAGCGAATGAGGACGCCGCAATGGAGAAGAAAATCGGTGAATGGATTGCTAATTTATCGTTGGGGGAAGATGAGGAGGCAGAGTTTTATGTGCCTCAGGATGAGAGGGATGCGTTAGCCAGTGAGCTAGCGGCAATGGGGGACCCTCTGGAACGGAGAGAAAGAGAAGAAGAGAAGAAGTTGGAGTGGAAACTGAGGATGAAGAGGGAGAAGAAGAGAAGGAGGGACGAAGTTAACAGGCTGACCGAGGAGGTGACAAAAGTAAGGGATTGTCGACAAGAGGTCCAGGCGCAGCCAAACATCTCTGCCAAAATGGAACAGATGTTGGGATATCTGGAAGTGTTGAGTGCGGCCTGGATGGAGGAGCGTCAAACCAATAAGGGTCAGGATGTGGCCCTAAGTGCCATGCGGTCAAGGTTTAGAGATTTTGCGCGCGATATGGTTACCCACGTTGGAGGCGAAGTTAGGCGATTGAGGGACAGCGTGGGGAAGTTCTGCAAGGGCGCCATCGAAGGTGCCAAAGCGATAGTCGCTGTAGAGGGTGAGGCCAGGGGTAAGGAGCCTGTTAAGCGTAAATTCCCAGATGCCTATGGGGGGAAGAAGGAGGAGAATTTTGATAACTGGGAGGCGAGTGTCAACAACTACGTTTACTTACAGCACATCCTAATTGAGGAACAAGTCCTCGTCGCCTTCCAGGCCCTCAAAGATGAAGCGGCCAGTTTTGTGAGATCCCTTGCGCGCGCAGCCGGTTGTGAAAACAACCTGGTTGCATACTCTAAGATCACCACCCTTCCTCAATTCTTCAAACTCCTGAGGGAGAGATTCGCTGAACCCAGGAGAGGCGTTAGAGCCTCTGACAAGTTACAGACTATTCACTCAAGACAGTGGAGGAGTGCGAGAGCATTCAAGGGCGTTATGGACAACTTGGTAGCCGTCCCAGACCATGGGGTTACTGAGCCCCAGTTGGTCCCCTTATTTTACTGTGCCATGCCAGAGCCCCTGCGTGGGCATTTCTTTGAGAGCTCTCAACAGGCCGACGTCACCTACGATGTGCTGAGTAGAGAGGTGGTCCTATATGAGTCAAAGTCCATGTCAGTGTCCACTTTCTGGCATAAGGACTTGGATAAGGGAAAGAAGTGGAAAGGCCGTACCATCTCTGGTCAAGTCAGGGCCAAGGATCATATGATCCTTACTTTAGAAGAAGGTGGTATTGATGAAGTCCCCTACAGTGAGATTGAGTGGGGGTTAGAGGAGGAGGACAGCAGCGTCGGGCAGGGGAGGTCCTATGCGGCTGTCGCGGTTGGAGGGAGGCCGCAAGGTAGAGGAGGAGGCCAGGGCCAAAGGGGCCAGGCCATGGGAGGCCGAGGACCGGGCGCACAGGGGGTTGGCGGACAAGGGAACCGCCAAGTGGGAGGTAGGGGTCAAGGTCCCCCGCCAAATCGTCAAGGTTCTTGTCGGTCCCCACCGCGACGAGGTGGAAGGCCACCTCAAGGAGGATGGCACCCAGGCTTGCCACAGGGCGGGCCCTGGGAAGATTTGGGCTTGGGCCAACGCGTATGGGAGGAACGCGTGGACTTGGGTTAGTGTGTATTCTGTGGTGACCCGACCCATGTAATTAAATTTTGTCCTAAGTATAGACAGGCCCGATGGGCTGCCCAACAGTCAAAAGGCAGCCGCCAGTTGCTGTCGCAACTGCCCCTACTTTAAGGCCATGTGGGGAAGCGAGCGCGCGCACACAGGAAACTCCCAAACCACATGAGCCTATGGCAGAGGTTGCAGGCCCGTGCCTAGATAGTTGTCTAGTGACTGCTTGTGTTAGCATCTCTCTAGGCACGTCCCTCACAGGTGTGGCAGAAGAGCTGAAGGAGAGGATGCAAGCCTGGGCCAAAATGAAGAAGGAGAGTAAGGGACAACTGATCTTGGTAGATGTAGAAGTGTTTAGAAGCAGAGTAGGGGCCCTTATAGACTCAAGGGCTACCCGCAGTTACATTAGCCGTAGGGCGCTGAAGAAGTTGAGGCTAGGATTAAGAGTCCAAAAGTTGGCAGACCCCATAGTCAGTGTCCTCGCAGACAACCGCACGATGCGAGTTGAGGACTACGCAGAGGGAGTCCAGGCATACTTTCGCCTAGAGAAAGATGGGAAGGTGGAGAATCTCCATTCCCTGACTCTCCTCGTTCATGATGACCTTCCTTTCGATATAGTGTTAGGAATGGATTGGGGAGAGGCAGCAGGGGCCACACTCCACTTGAGAGAGCATGAGTGTAGGCTCCCTAGTCTGTCAGGCGAGGTTAAGACTGCCCGCCTGTTTCGTGTGTCCTGTGTAGATAACACCTTGGCACATTGCTGTCTCAGTGCTCCCACGTTCGCGCGACTAGTGAAAAATGAGCAGTTAGAGGATCAAGTCTTCGTAGTGTATGTGAAGCCTGTCACTGAGGTTAAGGAAGGAGATAGTTCCACAGACCCAACCATTGCCAAGCTGCTGGAGGAATTCAAAGATTTGACTGAGTCGCAGACAGGAGTAGTGTCGCGACCCATCCAGCACAGGATAGAGATAGAGCCCAGTAGGACTCCTAAGGGAGCAGTCTACAGGATGTCCCCTAGAGAGTTAGAGGAGCTACGCAAGCAGTTAGACGAGCTCCTCGAGAAAGGTTGGATCAGGCCCAGTTCGTCTCCTTTTGGAGCACCAGTCCTATTTGTCCCCAAGAAGGAAGGAGAGCTTCGTATGTGTATAGACTATAGGGGTCTGAATGCGATTACTGTGAAGAATGTTGAACCGCTGCCCAGGATAGACGATCTTCTCGATCGGGTGCAGGGTTGTAAGTATTTCTCTAAGATAGATTTGAAGTCCGGATATCATCAGATAGAGATCCATCCTGATGACATGTACAAGACTGCGTTGTGGACTAGATATGGGCATTATGAGTTCATAGTGATGCCCTTTGGACTAACCAACGCGCCAACCACCTTTCAGCGTTGTATGAATGATCTGTTCAGACCGTGGTTAGACAAGTTTGTAGTAGTCTATTTAGATGATATATTAGTTTTCAGTAGGACCCTCCAGGAGCACCAGGGTCATCTGAGGCAGGTCTTGGAGAAATTGAGATAGTCAAACTTCAAGATCAACGCGAAGAAGTGCGAGTGGGCCAAGACACAAGTCCTGTACTTGGGCCACGTGTTGGACGGAGATGGCATTAAGCCAGAGGACAGCAAGATAGCGGCAATTAGAGACTGGCCGACGCCCCGCACATTGACAGAGTTGCGGTCGTTTTTAGGCCTAGCTAACTACTATAGTAAGTTCGTAAGGAACTTCTCTACTATCGCCGCTCCCTTGCGCAGGTTGCTTAAGAAGGAAGAAATATGGTAATGGGACAAGGATTGTACGTCTGCGCTAAAGAGACTGAAGCGCGCGTTTATAGAATACCCTGTCCTCACAGTAGCTGATCCGTCCTTGCCCTTTGTCGTCACCACGGACGCGAGTCGGTATGGAATAGGCGCCGTGTTGCAGCAAGACGACGACAATGGCTATAGACCTGTAGAGTTCATGTTAGCGAGGATGCCCTCAGAGAAGGTTGCCACCTCGACGTATGAGAGAGAACTCTACGCTCTCAGGCAGGCTCTAGAGCACTGGAAGCATTACCTGCTTGGGAGGCACTTCAAAGTGTATTCTGACCATGAGACGCTTAGATGGTTAAAGACTCAGGCCAAGATGACACCTAAGTTGACTAGGTGGGCCGCGGAAATAGACCAGTATGACTTTGAGCTCAAGCCAGTGAAGGGCAAGTACAACGTAGTTGCGGATGCTCTGAGTAGGAGATCAGACTACTTTGGAGTCATAGTACACTATCTGGATATAGGGAGAGACCTGCAGGAGAAAGTGAGGCAAGCGTATGCACAGGACCCTATCTATAGCGATCTCCTAAAGAAAGTTAGAGAGGCCCCAGAGACTGAACCAGATTACCGCACTACAGACGGGTTGCTGTTTGAGAAGACTAACATATTCGACCGTCTATGCGTTCCCAACAGCGAGGAGATCCACAATTTGATCCTAGGGGAATGCCACGATACAGAGGGACATTTTGGTTGGCAAAAGACTCTAGCCAATCTAATGCATGCGTATACCTGGCCAGGAATGAAGAATGACTGCATAGAGTATGTCTACAGTTGCAAAGTTTGCCAGAGGAACAAGACCACCACGCGTGCCCCTCTAGGTCTTCTCAGACCCTTGCCTATTCCTGATCAGCCGGGAGACTCAGTGTCCATAGACTTCATGGATATCCAAGTCAAGAGTAGACATGGTAAAAGCCAAGTCATGGTCATAGTCGACCGATTTAGCAAGTATGCAGTTTTTGTTCTTTTGCCTGCAGAGGCACGTACGGACTTAGTTATACGGAAGTTCTTTGATTTTTGGGTTAGTGAGAATGGAGTCCCATTGTCAATAGTTAACGATAGAGATAGTCGCTTCACCAGCCAGAACTGGCAAGAACTCATGAGAGTCTATGGGTCAAAGTTGCTGATGTCGTCTGGCCGCCATCCAGAGACTAACGGTCAGACCGAACAGATGAACAAGATCCTGCAGCAAGTTCTGCGCATGTACATTAGACCTGATCAGATCGATTGGGACGAGATGTTGCCCAAGGTAGCCAGCGCGTACAACAACAACGTACATTTGTCTACCTGTCGCACTCCCGACGAACTACACAAGTCCTTTAGACCACGCAGGCCGTTTGAAGGACTTAACCGGGATCAGATTCATAGGCTACCACCCGACACCAGGGAGTTTGCGATACAACACGAGAAAGAATTAGCTACCGTTATTGAAAACAAGGCCCAACACAGAATGATAGAACAGGTTAATAAGCATCGTCGCCCCTCGCAATTTCAGGTAGGCGACTTAGTCTGGGTCAAGTCTAAAGAGTTTGCATCTGAGGAGCACATCTCGCAGAAGTTACTACCTGCGTATAGAGGACCGTGGCCGGTTCTAGAAGTCAAGGGCGGAGAGGATGGGCCGTCCTGCACAATAGAGATTCCAGCACACCTCCACACTTATCCTGTATTCCATGCCTCAAAGTTGTTGCCGTGTGTCACAAGTCAACAATTCCCCTTAAGAAGATTCATGATCCTGCCGGATATGGATGGAAGATATGACATTGACGGAATTGTAGATGAAGATGTGTTCAGGACAGGAGGTAGAGGTCGTCCACAGAAACAGTATAAGGTCCGGTTTGCTTATCAGGAACCGGAACACGACCGCTGGTTTACTAGAACAGAACTGCTAGAAACAGCTTCCGACATTGTCAGAGCCTATGAGCGTGATAAGAAGGGTAAAGGTCCTGCCTTGGACTGAAACATTCTCAGAGGACCTCGAATTTAGGACAGCGGGAGTGAAACGGTTTTCACCTCTTTGCAGTAGCAGACGCAGATCCCAGGGTTCGACCCCTAGACCTTGCCCTACCTGTGTACAGTACCTGTGTAGACCCCGAGAGTTGAACCTGTGACCTGTGTATTCGTAAACAGTTGGTAGGCTGTCATAGGTCCGTAGGTAGCGAGTTCCAGAAGTCTTAGCTGTAGCCCTTCTAGAAGGTCCGCAAGTGTGCAAGTGGGCAAGTGGTGAGTCAAGTGGTGGACTAACTGCAGTGCAATTGCAGTACGACCTCGGTAGGTTAGCAATGAGTCCCCACTAAGTCAGCGGTAAGGTTGAGTCAGTCCCAGTCCGGTTCAGCAAGTACCACAAGGGACTGTGAGCACCATGGGCCGATGGCAAAGGGCAGACCAACGAGTTTCAGAAGTATAAATGAAGAGGCAGCGCCCAGCCATTCATTGATTCCTGCGTGAGCCATGCGGAAGCGCTGCCACAGCGACTTGTGCAAGGAGGTCTGCAGTGAGCCCGAAGCTGAAGTGGGCGTGATAGAAGGAGCGTAGCATAGCGATAGGGTAGTTGCGGCCATATCCGCCATAGCTAGAGTTAGTGTGAGGTGTGTGTGTATGTGTGAGTGTTCAAAGTGACACGTGTGGGATATCCATGGTGATCCGGTGTATGTGAACAGTGAGTTGTTTGGGCGCTGAGTCGCCATAGCCAGTTGAAAGTGAACTCGTCTCTGGATGCCATATCTCTAAGTTTTGAGTGGGCGCATGTCGCCAGTTTTCTGCGCTACTGTTTACATGCATGAAAAGTGTGAATGAAAGCAAGTCTGATTGCAAATATATATATATATATATATATATATATATATATATATATATATATGTATATATATTTATATATATGTATATACAGGGTTACCAGCCCGTACGTACGGAGGCCCCCGGGGGGACCTCCGTACTTTCGGGCGTTCGGGGTCCCGTACGGGGCCCGAACCCGACGGCGTTCGGCCCCCGCCAAAAAATATTTCGGGGGCTAAAAATAATTTTTTTTCTTCTGAATTTGTTTTTATGAGTTGTTTATGACGTGAGGTACATGCCCATAAATTTTCAAGTCATTTGGCTTAGCCAAATAATAATTAAAAATCGTCAAAGATGGCGGCGTCAAAACGTGCTCGCCCACGTTTTTTTTCACTTTTTACTTTTTGTTTTCACTTTAGTTCGGGGTCTAAACAATTTTATTATTTTTTAAAAAAATTTTAGTGGGTTTTGTATTATGTGAAGTACACATCTGTAAATTTTCAGGGCATTTAGCTATGCCAAAACAAGATGAAAAATTGCCAAAGATGGCGGTGTCGAAAACATGCTCGCGCACTCACTAAATTTAATTCTCTTTTTATTTTTATTTATTTTTATTGGTAGTATTTCTTCTGTGTATTTTATTTTTATTTCAAATTTGGTAAGGAATTCAGACGTAATTCTCTGGCAAATCTTGTTTAATTTATTTTTCTCCACAACATATCTTTTTTTCAGATTTTTTTGATGACTTGTTTTTTTTTTTTTTTTTTTTTTTTTCGCGTTCGGCCCGAACGGCCGAACGCATCCCCAAGGGNTTTTTTTTTTTTTTTTTTTTTTTTTTGGGTCCGCGTTTGGCCCGAACGGCCGAACGCATCCCCAAGGGGTCCCATACGTTCGGGCGTTCGGCCCGTCCCGAATGCCGTTTACCCTGTATATATATATATTCAAGGGAGGTATTCAACAATTAGCAACAGTCAGACCCACTTGTGAGTTAGTAAGTTAGTAGTTGGGGTTAGGTCTTAAGTGGTGAGGAGGTGGAGGCCGCTTACCTGTGCTTCTAATCACCATGGGTGACTACCCCATGTTCTCACTTCTGGCCCTGTCTGTGCTATGGGGCCCCCTTCTTCGTTTCGTTGTCCCTCTTGCCTTCCAACGGACGTTTTGTTCACATGCGGTGTTAAGGTTTGAGAAGTCAACCCAGGGAAGTACAACTGAGGAGCAGGCAGAGATAGAGCGCCGCCTAGCTGAGAAGAAAAAAGAAAAGGAAGAGAGGAAAAGAAAGGAGGAGGAGGAAGTGAAGAAAAAGTTGTTAGAAGAGAAAGAGAAGATGGAGAAGGAGATGAAAGAGAAAGAGAGAAAGATAATGGAAGAGTTGAAAGAAGATGAAGAAGAAGAAGAAGAAGAAGAAAAAGATGTGGGAGACAGGCTGGAAAGGAGGAGGATCCAGCCACAGGAAGCAAAGGGTGAAAGCAGCCATGCCGGCGAAATCAGGTTGCTGCAGTTGGAGGCGATCGATTGGATGGGACAATTCGGGTATCAGACGGAGATGCCGAAAGAGACCGAGGAGGAGAAAAATGCTTTTGTGCTCAAAATGTCAGCGGCAGCGGATCAGGAGGAGAGAGACTTATGATAGAAGAGAAAAAGTCGAACTTAACAACAAATTGGTGGCTGCGAAAAGGCAGGCGTATAATGATAAAAAAAAGATGGAGGAGGGGGAGAGGTTGCAGACACTGTTGAAAGAACAGAAGGGAAAGCAAGTTGCGACAAGCGAATGGTTAGCTCTCTTGACTGACACCCTCCACACTAACGAACAACTCGTTGCCCTCCATCGATCCATCAACAAACTAGAGTTCCATTAGGGAGAATTTGAGGGAACCTGGAACAACCTTCTGCACACAACCTCCCACCAAGTAGATGACCGGATCTTTGGATATCTTAAACTATTAGATGACGCCCTCACAAAAAAAATAAATGACTCTGCCGTAGCAAGAAAGTTGAAGATTGGAGGCGGGGGAGGAGATGGAGGCGATGATGGTGATGATGGAGACAGAAAAGGAAAGGGTGTCAAGAAGGAGAAAGACGGGGAAGTGGAGGAGTCCAAATAAAAGATGAAGGTGAAGTTGCCTTGGACTTATACAGGGAAAAAGGAAGAAAACATTTTCCATTGGGAGGCAGCTATGGGAACATACCTGTACGCACAAAAGATTCTGTACTGGGACCGGGTGTTAATGGCAAGTTCGTGCATGGCAAGGAACGCAATGAGTTTCACAATCTCTTTGATGAAAGAGGTTGGCTTTACAACCATGGTTGAGTTTTCTCAACAAATGCGGATCGAAGACTCCTTCAAAGCCCTTAGAGAAAGGTTCGAAGACGAGAACCTGACCCGTAGAACTGAGTCATTGGTCCTTAACATTGGTGACCGTAAATGGAAAAGTGTGTCAGTTTTGAAGGCCACAATGGATGAATTGTTGCAATGCCCGGATTACGGATTAACACCAACACAGATCCTAAACAACTTCGTCAGAGCACTCCCAGACCCCCTCAAGACACAACTGTATCCCCGTATTAAAGAAGAGGGAATGACATATGAAAATTTTAGTAAGATCGTTGTAGATCACGCTGACTTTCTGCAAGAGGCGCAACATTGCCATTATTGGAAAGATCTGCAGGCCGACAAGAAATGGAAAGACCGGACAATCTCAGGGAATATTGCAGGTAAAGATAACTTACTGATCACCTTTGAAGAAGGAGGGGTGGAATCACTTACCTATGACCAGATAGACTATGGATTAAAAGAAGATAGCAATGGTCACCTAGCCTACTATGCGGCTGTTGCAACCCACGGGGGAGGGCGACAACAAGGAAGAGGCTGTGGTGAGGAAGAGGACCCGCCGCCCAGAGGGGTAGTGGCGAAGGTAGCTACTATGTGGGAGGTAGGGGTAATGGTCCCTTGCAAGGAGGTAGAGGTCCCAACTCCACAGGGGGAAGAGGTAGAGGTAGACGACCATAGCCGAAACACCCAAGGATAGCTGAAGGCAAACCTTGGTTAGCAATGGGTATGGACGAGAAAACATGGGAAGAACATCGCGAGACCGGTCAATATTTTAAATGTGGTGACCCCGATCACATTGTTCCCTTTTGTCCTCAGTATAGGTACCCAAAAGGGAACGACCAATAGAGGTTGTCGTTGCCTCTACAGGGACTCTGGATGCAAGCAGACTGTCAACCTCCCATCCAGAGGTCCCAATGGCAGAGACTGAGACGGTAGTTGACCCCCACCTAGTTAGCTGCCCAAAAGTTGCTTGTGCTAGGACTTCTCTAGGTGGTTCCCTCACAAGCATAGGTGATGAACTGATCACTCGTCGCCGCGCTTGGGCTGAAATGAAGAAAAAGAAAGGGCAGTTATTAATTGCAGACGTAGAAGTGAGTAAAGGAAGAGTGGGCGCGTTAATAGATAGTGGGTCAACGCACACTTACATAAGCAAGAAAGGGCTGCAGAAGATGCGCCTAGGGTTGAAGGTTCAAAAGTTATACCAGCCTGTTGTAAGCAAGCTAGCCAATAATAGAGAAACGGTGGTTGATAGCTATGTCGAAGGGGTTAAGGCATACTTCTAGTTGGAGGCAGGGGGTAAGACAAAACGTGTTCTGCACTCCCTGACACTCTTAGTGGAGGACAGTCTCCCTTTTGACATGATTCTAGGAACTGACTGGGATGAGGCCGCCAATGCAGATGTGAAACTGGGTAAGCATGAGTGTTGTTTGCCTAGTCCCATAGGTGGAAAGAAGAAAGTTCAATTATACCATGCATCTGGCGTAGAGAATAGCCTAACCCTTCGCTGCATGAATGCCCCCGCGTTCGCCCAGCATGTGGTCAATAATGACCTCGTCGATCAAGTGTTTGTTGCATATGTGCGCTCGGTGAGTGAAGAAAAGAAAGAGGAAGAGTCAATACCCCTCAATGTGCACAAGTTGCTTGTTAAGATCGCTGATGTTGGAGAGGCCCCGAGCGGAGTGGTTGAGAGAGAAACCAAGCACCGGATTGAGCTAGAACCCGGTAGCCGGATTTCCAAGGGCCCTACCTATAGAATGTCTCCAAAAGAAATGGATGAGCTGCGAAAGCAGTTAGACGAGTTGCTTGAGAAGGGGTGGATTAAACCAAGTTCCTCACCATTCGGTGCACCTATCCTGTTCGCACCAAAGAAGGGCGGCAAACTATAGGGGACTTAATGTGATAACCGTTAAGAATGTGGAGTCGTTACCACATATAGATAATCTCCTAGATACAGTTCAGGGTTGCAAGTATTTCTCTAAGATTGATCTAAGGTCGGGATACCACCAGATGGAGGTATTGTTCGAGGATCAGCACAAAACGGTTTTTCGAACAAGATATGGCCACTATGAGTTTGTGGTGATGTCGTTTGGCTTGACTAATGCCCCTGCAACCTTCCAAAGATGTATGAATGAGTTGTTTCGTGATTGGCTTGATAAATTTGTTGTTGTTTATTTAGATGATATATTGATTTTTAGTAAGAGTCTGGAAGAGCATGAGGAGCACCTTCGAATTGTGCTTAATAGATTGCGAGAGGTGAAATTTAAGATTAACTCGAAGAAGTGTGTGTGGGCAAAGCGTCAGGTTCGCCATGTGTTCTCACATTTCGACAGTGGTGTGGCGATGCCCACGGACCACCCGCACCGAGGACCGAGCGGCAAACACTGCTGTGCCTGCATCTGATCGTGTTCTAGCGAAAAGTTCGTTCCGACCCAAAAAAATTGTAATTTTTCGTCTTTTGTTTTTTGTTTTGTCTTTTTTTTTTTTTTTTTTT